GTCGTCTAATAGTATCACTATATATATATATATATATATATATATATGCATGTGTATGCGTGATGAGTGAGTGTGTCAGTTGTGAATATACGTAATGTCCCTAATGAAGCTACTCTGTACTCATAATCTGCAGAGAGGTTGCGTGCGCATCTAAATCGAGACCTGTCATACAACGACAAAAACTCGCAAGGTGCATAACTCAGTACTTCATAAAGTCGTTAACATTCGTGCAGATAAGTACAAACACACCTCTGTTCGGTTCCCTCTAGGATCGCAGTGTTTACCATTGCCATGTCCCGTACACCCTGGTTCATGGCACCCACTTCCATACATCAGCTTGCCATACGGATCATAGCCTTCAACACGCGCACCGCCGGCCATACCTCCTGAAGCTGCTATATTGCGGCCGTCTACCCGCTTAGGTGTATTGTTATGGCTGTGCGTGTTCAATTGTATATCCGCAGAACCCCCGGCATAGCCCTGATCAGGCGCCATGCCTCCCTGGCCTTGCCCACCGCGAACGAGTGGCACATGCGGCTGCTGGTGCTGACGCTGCTGTAGGTGTTGTTGCTGTTGCTGATGGTGTTGTTGTTGTTGTGTGTGCTGGTGTTGTTGTTGTGTGTGCTGGTGTTGTTGTTGGCGTGGCTGTGCTTTGGGGGGGTACTGGTGTTGTTGGGCGTGCAGTTGCTGCTGCTGCTGCAGCTGTTGCTGGTGTTGTTGTAGCTGGTGCTGTTGTTGGGCGTGCATTTGCTGCTGCTGCTGCAGCAGCTGCTGATGCTGTTGTAACTGTTGCTGCTGTGCTTGTTGCTGTGACTGGAGGTGCGCTTTCGTTTGCGCCTGGGCCTGAGCTTGGGCAAGCTGTGCCGACTGCGTATTCATGCGCATCACATTCTCAGAGGCACCCACATTCACATTATTATTCCCACTACCATTTCCAAACGTACCCAGCCCCGGTCCCCCCATACCACCGCTGTCGTTCATGTGCGCCATTTTGCTCTTCCGCTTTTTCTGGTTCGCTTTCATGGTCATGTGTCGAGTCATCTGCACCTGCGATGGAGGTGGCGGTGCAAACCCATTCGGACCGATACTCACATTGCTGCTACAAGGGCGTCTGCTGACATTCCTAGAGTCGTCCACAACAAAGTCTCCGTCGTCTTCATCGTCGTCTAACTCGTCGATGTCGTAGTCATACAGACTGTCGGGTGTCACGGGCACCCCGCTTAGTGACAGGCGCTTGGCGTGAGGATAGTCGGTGGAATTACTCATCAATAAAGGTCTGACAATATTCCGGCGTGTCCTGGGCTGTTCGTTGAAAGGAAGGTTGTTTTGTATGGTATTGCGGCTGTAGCCGTTGGCGCTGTTGATTTCGTACTGCGTCGTGCCACTGACGTCGCGTGTGTTTGCGTTCGAGCTTGTAGTAGACGTATGCGGGTACCCCTCGCAGTTGTCGATCATCTGCACGCTCTTCCGTGCGTGTGCGTTTGACGGGCTGCTATTAAACTGCTGCTGTGCCAGGTGGGTGGTATTTATAAGTGAGCCCGTAAATCGGTTACGAGGAACTGAGGCTAACAATATTTTCCTGTGTTTGATAGATACGTCATCCCCCCTTATGGGCACTACGTTGGTTCCTTCAATCACTGATCGACACCCGTGGCACACGTATTCGCTTATTCTAGTGTATAACACTGACTCACAAACTTCTAGTTGCGAGTAAACAGATCGTAGATCGAGTGATACAGTTGTCAATTCTTGTATTTCCGAGCCGTTCTCTTGCTGAAAGTCTTGTACTTGGTGGTGCAAAAATTGTAGTTGTTTGATGTTTTCCTGCTGCTGTTTTAGGTGGTGTAGAAGATATGTTTCGATGCCCTTAGCCGTACTGATGTGATCTCCCTCGTCTTCTTCTACCATGGACAATGAAAGAGGCAAGGTGTCCGACTGCGAGAGACAAAACAAAAACACAAGAATTGGACTCATTAATTAATAGAGGTATTTGCTGACAAATTGAACCACACAAATCCACACAAGACAGCATTGCAGCGAAGCACGGCGAACTGCGCGAGACAAGACTATGAAGGAAAAATGCGATTAACATAATACTGGTGACGATTCAACAACAGCATGATAGAAACTGTTTGAAATACGATAAATGATGGAACAAGAAATTTGGTAACTTCAAATTGAGTGATGCATATGGCTCAGAATCATAAAAGTATCAGATGGACGAGCAATACTCGAGTGGCGTCTTTCACGTATTTTAGTTACAACTAAACGATGTCAAATTACACTCGGCCGCTCATCA